AGGTTGGTCAGGTTGATCAGGTTGGTCAGATTGATCAATCATATCTGGTAGAAAGGCCATATCTATTCTATCACAGTATATATCATTGAGTTTATTATATCAGGAAAAATAAATATATTTACAATTAAACCAAAAGTTTTTCCTTATATAACCTTCTTGTAATTGTTAAGAAAAATCAAAAATTTTATTTTTATATAATCTAATTAAATAAAAATTAAAGATATATATATGAAGATCTAAAAGTACTATCTATTATACTATGAACCTATAGATTTTATTATAAAAAAAATTTATATAATTTTATAATTTTATATATTTTTATTTAATAAATATGTATACGTCACCAGTTAAAAAAAAAATTTTTTTAATAAATATGTATAAAAATAAAATTAATTGTTAAAAGTTTATATAAAATTAATAAAAAATTTTTTAAATTTTTTTTTTATAAAATAATCAAATAATTTATTTAAATAATTTTAATATTTCTAATATTTCTAATCAAAATTCATATATAAATTTACAATAAACTATAATATTTAATTTTAATTTATTCAAATAAATAAATATTTATTTATAATAAAAATAATTTAAATTCTTAAATTAGAATTTCAATAAACTTATATGTATAAAAAAACGTAGATGATCATTTTACTTAGAATTAAATGCCTCACGTGGAACAATTTTTTGACATAAGCGGAAAAATATTTGATTAGGGGTGGGCATAATTGATAGCTTTTGCGCAGCCTGTACGACAATATTTATAATTCTTCGTAATTATAAAAAAAAAATTTTTTTTTCTGTTACCAACGATCTCTAGACGTGGTGGCAATTAACTTCCACATTCGTTGATTTGTTATTTATTTGGAGTATTTTAGATACATATCTTTAAGCCTAAGTTATTCAAAAATCTCTATACCTGCCCCAAAGAAAAATGTCATCAGCCTCTAAGCAAAAACGTTTGGCTAAAAAAGCTGCCAAAAATGCGTCTGCGGTATCTACAACGAGTAATGGTACAGGCGCATCTAAAAAGCCAGACTCAGTAGATGCAGCTAACGGATTATCCTTAGATTCTTTAAAGATCTCAAGCGATAGAACTGCAAACGGTGTTCTATCTTCACAACCAATGTCTAAGGATATAAAGATAGAACAGTATAGTCTGTCATTTCATGGTCGTGTGCTGATTGAAAACGCCACAATCGAACTCAATTTTGGTAGACGGTAGGTTAGGATATTGATGCATATTAATTATTAATACCGATGTTATATTAAAATTTTTACTATTTTAGATATGGGCTTATTGGAGCCAACGGGTCAGGTAAAAAACCTTAGTTTAACTAATTATAGCGTTTATATATTTCTTTGAGTGTAAATTGAATTGTCAATTTATAGGAAAGAGCACATTTTTGGCATCTCTGGCTGCGAGGGAAGTTCAAATTCCCGAGCATATTGATGTGGGTTTATTTAAATCCATTTTTTTTGTTTCTCAAGTTTGATTGACTTGATTCTTATATAAGCTATTGTTAATTTTATATGTCAGATCTATCTATTAAATCAAGAAGCAGAACCGTGTGAATTCAATGCCACCGAATATGTCATCCGGGCAGCAAAGGACGAAGTTGTTCGGTATATTTCTTTTGATAAGAATCACATTGATATGTATGATTTTGCAAATAGAAATTCCTTGTTAATTCTTAGAAACTTTTTTTGCGTATTTGTAGTCTGGAAAGAGAGGTCGAAGATATCTTAGCTGAAGGAGATGGTTCGGATGACCCAAGATTAGAGGACTTGTACGATCGCATTTCTGCACTGGACGAGTCGACATTTCAAACTCGCGCCAATGTCCTGCTTCACGGTCTTGGATTCACACAAACCATGATGAAGAAGAAAACAAAAGATATGTCTGGTGGTTGGAGAATGCGTGTTGCTTTGGCAAAAGCTCTTTTCATCAAACCTACTTTGTTATTGTTGGATGAACCTAGTAAGTATTAAATGTTATATAATAACTATTACGTTATTCTGCATTGATCGGACACTAATGATTTTCTCTCCTTTTAACATAGCAAATCACTTGGATTTGGAAGCTTGTGTGTGGCTTGAAGAATATTTGAAGACCTACGACCGGTAATCGAGATTCATGTTTAATGCCTAAACACTAAGTTGCATACATTAGCTACATTCCGATTTTTTTTTTTATATTTCCACCCTAGTATTTTGTTATTAGTTAGTCACTCTCAAGATTTCCTTGATGGTGTGTGCAACCAAACTATACATTTGAATGTGAGTGCTAATCATTATTTTATTCTTGTAATTAAGTATTTTAAGTGTTTGACATTACTCTTACCTAAATGGAAATTATTTACTAACAGGAAAAGAAGAAACTGATCTACTATGGAGGCGGTTATTCTACATTTGTTAAGACAAAAGCAGAGTTGGAGGTCAACCAAATGAAAGCATACCACAAGCAGCAAGATGAAATTGCCCATATAAAGAAATTCATCGCTTCAGCTGGTACATATGCTAATCTGGTGGGTAGAATATACATGTATTATAATTTGGTAATATATAAAGGTACTAAATTTATTGGTAATAATTGATAGGTCCGACAAGCTAAAAGTAAACAAAAAATTATAGATAAGATGGAGGCTGCAGGTTTGATTGAAAAGGTTCGTATACGATAAAAATTTAACCGATTGAATTTACTACAGAATTCTTTTGGATCTGACGATATATTTATAAGGTCGAGACGCCATCAACTTTCAAGTTTAAGTTTCAAGATGTCGAAAAATTGCCACCACCTGTACTCCAGTTCGATCAAGTTTCATTCTCTTACAATGGGAGTACCAAATCAGAGGACCTTTTATATGAAGACTTGGATCTTGCAGTAGACATGGATTCTCGAGTGGCTCTTGTGGGCCCTAATGGTGTAGGCAAGTGGCTTTCGGGATATTTTTCAATTACTGTTTGATATGCAATTCATCTATTTATCCTTATTATTTCGATATTAAATAGGGAAAAGTACTTTGCTCAAGTTAATGATGGGTGAACTTCAACCTGTAACGGGACGGATTGCTCGCCATACAAATCTGAAATTAGCAAAATACAGCCAACATAGGTATGAAAGTATCGTAGAATTATTTTAATGCTTAACATTAAATTAGGACATTTTAATATTAAGTATCATTTAATATGAATTACTTTTAGTGCCGACCAGCTTGAAATGGACTTGAGCCCTATACAATATATGAGAAAAAAATTCGCTCATCTGAATGGCGATGTCGACGTAATTATTTCTTTGCTAGATACTTTCTCATAATTTATGTTCATATCATTAATCACAAGAGTTGTTTTCTAGTTTTGGCGTAATCAAATTGGTCGTTATGGTCTCACCGGAGCTCACCAAACGTCCCCGATTGAGACTCTTAGTGACGGTCTAAAGACTCGTTTGGTATTCGCCGAATTGGTATTGTCCACTCCTGATATAGTGCTGATGGACGAACCTACGAATCACTTGGTAGGACAATTTAGATCTATTATTCATAGTTTTTATCAAAACTTGATTAACAACATTTCCTCTTTTGCGTTAGGATATGGAAAGTATCGACTCTTTAGCAAAAGCTATTAACGAATTCACGGGTGGCGTGGTTTTGGTTTCCCACGATTTCCGGCTAATCTCACAGGTAGCGCAAGATATATGGTTGTGTAAGGATCATACAGTGAAACCATGGAAGGGATCAATCGAAAGTTATAAGAAGTATTTGGCTAAAGGAGTTAAAATTTAAAAACAAGAATGGAGGACATTAGAATAGAAATCCGGGTTTGCATTTGTGAATTAGAATAAGATGTTTATTGGTTTTTTCGGTTGTAAAATACAGATTAGGGTGCACTTGTTAGGATACATCAGTTTGAGCATATGAGAAATAAAGATTTGCCACTTTGAGGAGCGCGATAATAATGTCTTACAAGATCTGTATTTTATGATTCTGTTGATGTTGTGAATTTTGTGGTAAAGACTATATAGTTATAAGTACTTTTGGTTTATATTTTATTTTTTTTTTTAAAAAAAAATTAATTATATACATTATTAATAAAGATGCGTGGAGTAACCAAAAAATTTTTTCTTTTAACTTCTTTTAAGAAAGCTTTCAATTAATTAATTTTAAACCGATCTTCTATAGGTACCAAATATCTCTGTCGTCTTCCCCTCTTTTTCTTACTCCTTTCTGAATAAAACTCATGAGCCAACGTATGAAATTCCGGTGGAAATGGCGACGGAATCTC